TGGCATCATAAAAACAAATATAGCAGAGCAATGCCATATCTGACCTCTGCTCTGAATAGCCCGCATGTCAAAGCACAAATATTGTTTCAATATCACTCATTTATGAGCACAGCGTGTGCTGAAGCTCTGAATATGATCATCTGAAGACGTCACGGGTACAGAGGAAAACGATTAACACTGCTCTGCAAACTGAAGCCTCAGACATGCAGGAACTCTTACAAAAGGCATTACTGCATGATTTCGACAGGCTGTGTGTTTTATGGTTCATAACTGTTTTCATAATTCAGTTATATAATAATAATACTACTACAGATATCTAAAAACGTGCTCACAACGCAGTCTTTCATCAAAAGAGGCCAAACACAATCAATTAAATGCAACACTAAAGTTTGCAATAAACAAGTGCTGTTCTTAAGTAAAAAAAAACATCTTTCTAAGTTGTAAACAAAAGTTTTTAAAAGAAAATCCTATTTTAGTTTTTCTACTTAAAAATGTCAGATTTAATTCAATGTGTTACTTGTGCAACTTCTTTGTAATTATTTGTGAAATTTACTTGCGTGAAATTTGTTTTTACAGTGTATTAAAAATATTTGATGTTAATTAAAATAAAGCTGAATATATAAATATTAGATGAAAACTTAAATTTAAAAACTGAAGCTTAGAAATGCTGCCTTGGCAACTAGCTGAAATAAAAGAAGTTTAAGTTACTAAAATTACTAAAACTGAAATAAAAGTAAATAAAATACAAATAGAAATATTTACCCATTTAAAAAAGCACATATAAAAACTAAAATTATTAAAAATATTTTGTGACTACTAACTAAAACAAAGCTGAAATAAAAAAGAATAGGTGGAAACAAATAAAAATATTAAATGAAAAACAAACTTAAAAATGAAAATCACTAAATTACTAAAAATACTAAACCGGTAATAACAAAATAAAATAAAAATAGAAATGTGTACTAATAAAAAATACAAAAGCACATATGAAATATTTTGTGTTAACTGAAATAAAGCTGAAATAAAATAAAAAAATAATAAATGAAAAAAATGTAAATGAAAAACTTGAAAAGAAAATTAGAAATGTTGTTTGGCAACTAGCTGAACTAAAATAAGATTAAATTACTAAAACTGAAATAAAAATAAAAATAAAATAGAAATATTTAATAATAAATATACAAAAAGCTCATTGAAAATATGAATAAATACTATTATAGTACATAAATAAATAATACTCAAATAAAATAAATAAATAATTCTAAAACAAAATTGCAGTAAACTAAATACCATAAAACACTCCAAAGCATACTGAAACTATAAACTAATGTGACTTCTTTAAATGCCACATCAACAAATTATAAAGGTGACTAGTATTTTACTGTATTAGTATCATTTTACTGTAAAAAAACATATGCCTTGTTAAATGCGAAATATCTTGCAGTAAATGATAAAGGTAGCCTAATTGCACAAATGTATTGCTTGTAAATACAATTTTAGTTGAAACACCATGCAAACAATTATTTTTCCCTTCGGGCCCCACCATAAAAAATGCGTTCATGCACAACTTCAGAGAGAAAAATAATTATTTAATTTAATTTAATAAACACAGATGCTTTGTTCTGCCTCCACTTTATTGTCTGATCAGGTATTTAGGTTTGGCAGAAAAATGCTGTATCACTTCCCGCCGATTCTCCAAATGAAAATCCTCCAGCAGGCCTGATCTGAGATCAGAGGAACGCTTTGATGACGGGGTTGAGTTGCACACATGCAAAACGCCTCTGCTCAATGCTGCCTTTATACGGGCTGAAATCACGGCTCCAGCGGCTTAATTACAAATACCAGCCTTCAAATGCTGCCCAATTACCGCTTTCATTGGGCTGATGGGTGCCAGCTGGGCTCTCGGGCTCTGGACCCGGTCTCAGCCCATAAGTCACTCCGACACACGGCTCTGAAGTCAATCCAGAGGAAAAGTCCATAAAAAACGTTCAAGCGTTCAACTGCGGCATTAATGCCGTCACGCGCTTTAAGAGGAACCTGAGATGTGCTCGTGCACATGACACACCGTCCAGATCATGCTTTCTGACCTCTGCTGGTCAGATGATGATGATGATGGCTGTATTACCCGCGTCCTGACCTGTTATTTAGCAGCTGTCATGAGGATTGATGGACAGGATCATTATTTAAACAGTAGAACAGGTGCTCTGTCAGCAGTCGGTCGCATGATACTTTATGATTATGATTTAAAAACGCACTACCTAAGTCTCTGCTGCTCACCAAGGCTGCATTATTATTTTATTTTTTTTTACTACTGATCTCTAACATTTGGACATGTATACTAAACATATAAAGCATTATAAACTAGTTTTGCATTTTCTGATGTAAATATCAGTGTTTATCAGCAGAAGCGTTAAAGTCTGAGTTAAGTTTAGGGACATGTCAGCAAACTCAACACAAACGCTTTTCAGGAAGCACAGACTGCCCAGATATATTAGCTTGAAACACCTTTACATTTCTGGAATTAAAAGTTTCAGATAGCAGACTTTTTAAATGAAATGCTCTACAAAATATGAGATCAGAGGAACGCTTTGATGACGGGGTTGAGTTGCACACATGCAAAACGCCTCTGCTCAATGCTGCCTTTATACGGGCTGAAATCACGGCTCCAGCGGCTTAATTACAAATACCAGCCTTCAAATGCTGCCCAATTACCACTTTCATTGGGCTGATGGGTGCCAGCTGGGCTCTCGGGCTCTGGACCCGGTCTCAGCCCATAAGTCACTCCGACACACGGCTCTGAAGTCAATCCAGAGGAAAAGTCCATAAAAAACGTTCAAGCGTTCAACTGCGGCATTAATGCCGTCACGCGCTTTAAGAGGAACCTGAGATGTGCTCGTGCACATGACACACCGTCCAGATCATGCTTTCTGACCTCTGCTGGTCAGATGATGATGATGATGGCTGTATTACCCGCGTCCTGACCTGTTATTTAGCAGCTGTCATGAGGATTGATGGACAGGATCATTATTTAAACAGTAGAACAGGTGCTCTGTCAGCAGTCGGTCGCATGATACTTTATGATTATGATTTAAAAACGCACTACCTAAGTCTCTGCTGCTCACCAAGGCTGCATTTATTTGATCAAAAATACAGTAAATATAGTAATATTATGAAATGTTATTACAATAAAATGACTTGTCATATTCAAAATGTCATATTTCAATGAAATACTAGATTTAATTTAATAATTTAAGAGGTGTGGCTGTCTAATGGACATTTTTGTTTACTTTTGAGTGGTTTAGCACTGCTTTAGCACTGCTTTGGGTTGTTCATTTATGTGCAATGTGAAATAAAGTTTGCAATTTCACAGAAATGTGATTTCAAGGACTTGAAAAATCATGGAAGTGAATACAATTCATTAAAATTGGAAGTATAGTTTTTTTATTGCTACAAATTTATATTTACACAAACGTCTGGGGTCAGTAAGTATTTTTTATTTTATGAAAGAAGTCTCTTCTGCTCGCCAAGGTTGCATTTATTTGTGTGTGTTAAAAATGCAGTAAAAACAGTAATGTTGTGAAATATGATTGCAACTTAAAATAGCTTTTGTTTATTTGAATCTATTGTAAAATGTAATTTATTTATTTTCAGCAGTCAATATGCTAAATTTACATTTTATTTTTCAGGATTCTTTGATGAAAAGAAAGTAAAAAAGAAAAAGAAAAAAAAAGAACAGCTTTTATTTGAAATATAAATCTTTTGCAAACACCTTTACATTTCTGGAATTAAAAGTTTCAGATAGCAGACTTTTTAAATGAAATGCTCTACAAAATAAAGTTTGAGTGCACATTAATTTATAATGAAAATAAAACTGGATTACGGATGGTGCGCTTTATTTCTGCCTCTGGTGATTTATTATTTCTGAAAAACAAACTCTTGCAAGTCATCATGACCAGCAGAATGTGCTTCAGTCACATGCATTGCAGTACAGCGCCACCTGCAGGTGAATATCAGCCTCTCTAAACACAACGATACTGCAAAATCACTGTGCAAGTTCAATCCTGCAATCTATCTATATAAACTATCAGTTATAAAGTAATGTTCTGAGTAAATATTCTCAAAGCTGACAGCAAATAAACTGCTATCCTGAAAAGTTTCATTAAATGTGTACTTCAGTTTGGATATGCTATTATGAAACCATGAGCCGGTTATATAACCCGCACCTCATCTGCATCCAACAAATATCTGAAAAAGTCACTAAACAAACAGCTTTGATTTATATGCCAAAATAAATCACACAGCTTCAAGGTAGCCTAGAATACATTAAAGCTTTATAAACATGCACAAGTTGAATAGAGCCAGTGGCATTAACAACATTAATAACAAGAACTTTTTAACAAGTAGATAAAATTAAATGTTTAAAAATGTAAACAATTAAATTTTTTTATTAGTAGACAAATTTAAATTGTAAAATGTAATGCCTGGCTATACAAACATATTAATAGGCTATTAAATATTTAAAAAGGTTTTACATTAAAATGCAATAATAAAATTATATATATATATATATTAGTAGATAAAATTAATTGTTTAAAAATGTAAACAATTTAAAAAAGTTTTTTAATTATTAGAGTTAAATTGTAAACTTTAAGATATTAATAATTTAATAAATTAAAGATAATAATAATAATAATAAACATTATATATACACACATATAAATAATTGTAGATATAATTAAATAATTAAAAAATGTAAAAATATGTAATAAAATTAAAAAAGATAATAATAATAATACATTTTTATTGATTATATATAATAAATTATTTTCTACATTTCTAAATTATATATAGAGAAAAATAATCTCTTTTGCATTAGGTCTGCAAAATACTTGACAGCAGATTGTTTGGTGCACTTCATGGAAGAAACTGTCTATTCATTTCTCCTAAGCATTGCTCTCAAACAAAGCGATTATTGTGTCATGTTTAATATTCATCAAGCGGACAATCTCCACCCCCAAACTGAAGCCATTTTACAGAAGAAAGAGAACAGCAGCAGCAGCAGCAGCAGAGAAGAAAGCACACAACTCAACTAATAACACTGACTTACAGTAAGTTACAGCTTCACGTCTGTACTGGAGTTTAATACGACATGCATATTATCGCTCATAATCTCTGATGATAATGGCACGGTTTGTTTATGCAGTCATGCATGTGTCAAATAATGCATTCAGATTATTTTATTAATAAGCGCATGCATCGGGTTTTGTAACGAAGATTCTATTTAACGAGTTTAATGAGCTGTCAGAGGCGCATCGGTATGTTGTTTTACTCCTTTATTTGCCTACAAACGACAATGGATACGGAGTAGAAAAACGTTTAAGAGATTGTTATAAAAAATAAATTCATTAAAATAACAATCTCACACACTACGGCTGTCAATACATTAAACGCATTAAATAATATTTCAAATAATAAACAGTCTCCATGAGCGAAGCAGCTCCAGCAGGGTTGCCAGATTTTCACAACAAAACCCGCCCAATCGCGTTTAGAGGGTCCCGGTTAAAAATTACGTTCCGGGGAGTAAAATACACGTTTTTTTGGCGGGGTTCGCTTTGTAAATTTCGCATTCCAGGGGCTAAATATCACGTTATTGGGGTCGTTTCAACCCGCGGACATGAAAAACAACCCGCGGCAACAGTGTTAAAGCAGCCCGATTCCGCGGGAAAACCACGGACTTGGCAACACTGACAGTCACATGACCTGGATGTCGCGCGTGTCGTAATTCTCCGAGTTTAAGCGCAAAAACAAAACAGAACAAATTACTTCAAGACACAGAAATGTGTGAATCTTTAAAATACTGTCTTTTCGTATGGAGTTTTGGTCGAAACACACACACACACACACACACACATATTTTGGTATAAAACACCAACTTTTTTTTTGTCATAATGTCTAATCACTGCACACTATAGTCGAATACACCGCCTTAACTCTCATATTAATAGGGAATCAGACGGCAAACAGAATAGCAAAAATAATATTCCAATCATACATCTTAAACTTGTCCTTAAAAGCACATTAGTCACGCAGAACTTGATCGATACGCGCACATGCAGGGTGTTTTACGGTAAGCGTCTTCATGTGTGTCGGTCATGTGTCTCGCTGCGCGCGCTCACCTCTGTCAGATGTAAATACCTTCAGATGAAGAGCGGTGGTAATAATAATAATAATGCCATTTCATAACTTCTCCAGAGAAGCGCTTATAGGCTCAGCGACGCTGGGAGTGATTTTTACAGCGGGATATTTTGTGGGTGAGTGCCGAAAGCGGGAACCCCGGGAAATAGAGGGAAGTGACTCGTTTCTCTTCCGGAACAATTTCTTGTAATTCTGAGTCAGAATTAAAAAAAAAAAGAATTCGAAAAAGAGTTAGAATTGTGAGATATAAACTCAGAATTGTAAGAAAAAAGCAGAATTGTGAGATAAAAATCATTATAATTTCTTTTTAAAAGTATTTTTCCATGGAGGAAATGAGCTTCCATACAGTGGTGTTCAGCATCAATGACTTATGATATATGATTTACATCAAACTGTTCAAAAGTCTCTTCTGCTCACCAAGGCTGCATGTATTTGATAAAAAATACAGTAAAATTGTGAAATATTATTATAATGAACAGAAGACACTGAGCACTTTGTATTTGTGTGGCCGTTTCCTGCTGCAGCAGCATTTGGGAATATTCCTAATCCTGATGAATGTTGTAACCAAGCAAAACACCGCAAAAGCATTTAGCAACTTTTTTTGTGCAACAACTGGTGTAGTTATTGCTCATTTAAGGATACCAGTTTGAACAACCCCATATAGCAACTGCATTATAACTCAGTTTCCTAAAAGACACTCTCTATGACTTAGCAATCACATTTTAATATCCGTGTAACTATATATTTGCATTCTATATTGTACTCTCATTTTTCAGGAAAAGCTGATTTTTATATGTTTAAATGTATTTTACAAAATATTTTCACTAGCCCCATCATATATATATATATATATATATATATATAATAAATTAAAAAAACGAATGAGTTAAAATAAAGATAATGTTTTTTTTTACTTGTTTTATTGTCTTTTTTAATAGAAGTAAGCTTGATGTTAAACTGTTTATTAAAACATTAACTGTTTTTATGGAGTTCCCACCTAAATAGAATTCAGGATATGACGAAGTATAACAAAAATCAAATAATAAGTGCATTGTGTGTGTGTTGTTATTTATTATTATTATTTTAAATATATTGTTATATATACTGTTGAAAAGTCCAAAAACACTTTTCATGCAAAATGTTTGATTATTATTTGCAGAGTACTCAAAAATAACAGCATGAAACTGCAAATAATAAATATTTGTATTAATAATATTTGTATTAAAAACAAATTGCATGTGGTATTGCACAAAAAAACCCCTCTCCAGGTTATGTTGACATTGCAAATAGATAAATAATTGTAATAATAATAATAGTAGTAAAATAAATAAATAAATTAGCATGTGAAATTGAAATAAACTGCTTATTTTATTTTGAAATTGCAAATAAATAATAAACATTTATCAAAAATCAATTAATAAAAATTGTGCAAATAATAATAATTGCATGAAATCCCACCTGCAGGTAGAAGATTAAAGTAAGGTGTTGTCTTAATAACATGCAGTCTTTCTCTGGTTTCTTCTTGCTAAAGGCAAACGCAAATCTAAATTCTTCAGAATGTCGTCAGGTAAAAGTCACGTGGGAAGGAAAGATGATCCAGTGATGCAGTACCTCCTCAATCACTCGCTGAGGGAACATCCAGCCCTCAAAAAACTGCGCCAGGTACGTATATTTCTGTTCATAATGATGGATAATAGTGATCAAATCCAAAGGAGGTTTAAAGGTATCACAACTAATAAATGTCGAAGAATAATTTGTTTGCTTTTGTATTTCCCCAAATGGGAACATTTGTCTTATGTTGTACAGTAACTGTGTTTAATGAACTTAATTTCAGTAACTGTGCTTAATTATTTCTCTTTACATCTCTAGAAAACCATGGAGCACAAGTTGAGCATGATCATGGTGGCCTGTGAGCAGTCGCAGTTCATGGCAAATTTAGCCAGTTTAATCAAGGTCAAGAAAGCCATTGAAATTGGTACGTGACTTTTGCAGTAAGTTGCACAGATATTCTGTAAATCCCTCGACGTGTCTAATGAATCTGTGCATGATCAGGTGTTTATACGGGATATAACGCGTTGAGTATCGCGCTCACCCTGCCTGCAGACGGGAAACTGATCGCGTGCGACGTCAGTGAGGAATACATCAACATCGGCAGACCCTTCTGGAGACTGGTGAGAGCAACACATGAGCGCTTTAATTATGTCCCTATTTATGCTCGATTCTGGCCCTATTGTGCATGAAGCAACTTTACTTTTCTTCGTTTTCTAAACTAGAACTTCATTATTAGTCCGCTTTACTGATCATAAACTCACTATACAAAGTCGTTTGTAATATTAAAACCTTTTTTGCACAAAGTTATGAAGTGCATATTTACTGTAAATGTAATTTTCAAGCACAATATTTTTGTGGAAACCGTGATACATTTTATTTTTCAGGATTCACAGATGAATAAAAAGATCAAAAGAACAGCATTTATTTTAAATAGAAACCTTTTCTAACATTATAAATGTCGTTACTGTCACTTTTGATCCATTTAATGTATAAATTTCTTTTGAAACAAATATCTGACCCCTAGGTTTTGTGGAGCGGTCGAGTGGTGAACCCAGAAGAAGGCGACATCGACTCCATCAGCATCGATAAACTGAACAAGAAGCTCCATCGAGACGTCAGAATCCAGCTGAGCATGTTAACAGTAGGCGACGGGCTGACATTAGCATTCAAAATATGACTTTACCACCAGAACTGACTGAAGAAAACATTTGTAATCATTGATTTAGGTCGTTCAGTTGAGAATATGCTTTGTAATAATTAAAAGTTTTGTATTAAATTGTTCATCTATTGATTATGAAAATACGTTTCAAATATGTATTTGTGGCATAAAAGTTTTCAATAAACAGTTACTGCACTGAAATCTGGAATATTTTAAATAAATGTTTGGAATGTCTGTAAGTCAAAGCAAGGCTGCAACCATGCCTTTTTATTTTTATTTTTTGGAAATTCTAGGTCTAATTCTAGTTGGGAAGTAATCATTTTTAAACTATTTGCTAATAATATGCACACAATAATATGCACACATGCACTTTTATTTTTATGCTAATATGTGACCCTGGAGCACAAAAGCAGTCTTAAGTCGCTGGGGTATATTTGTAGCAATAGCCAACAATACATTGTATGGGTCAAAATTATAGATTTTTCTTTTATGCCAAAAATCATTAGGATATTAAGTAAAGATCATGTTCCATGAAGATATTTTGTAAATTTCCTACCGTAAATATATCAAAACTTCATTTTTGATTAGTAATATGCATTGCTAAGAACTTCATTTGGACAACTTTAAAGATGATTTTCTCAATATTTTGATTTTTTTGCACCCTCAGATTCCAGATTTTGCAAAACTCATTCAGTTATGAATTACATGAATCACGTAAACAACATATTTTCAGTTCAAAACGACCATATTTGAGAAAAAAAGTTGAGTAATTTGCATCACTGGATATTACAGTCGGTCGTTTAACTTTTCTATCGTAAAAAAACGGTTGTCAAATATTAAATGTTTCTCCACTTTAACCTCACCTCGCTCTGTCGGCGTTAAAATTGACGGTGGGTCCGAAATCACATACTGAGTACATACTACATTTGAATTTGAATTCTACTGTTTTATTCGGACAAACTACTCGCCTCACATCCTGTTTAAATATATCAAAACTTAATTTTTGATTAGTAATATGCATTGCTAAGAACTTCATTTGGACAACTTTAAAGATGATTTTCTCAATATTTTGATTTTTTTGCACCCTCAGATTCCAGATATTCAAATTGTTGTATCTCGACCAAATATTGTCCGATCCTAACAAACCATACATCAATGGAAAGCTTATTTATTCAGCTTTCATATGAAGCATAAATCTAAATTTCAGAAAATTTACCCTTATGACTGGTTTTGTGCTCCAGGGTCACGCATGTCGAAACCGCAAAACTCATTCAGTTATGAATTACATGAATCACGTAAACAATATCATATTTTCAGTTCAAAACGACCATATTTGAGAAAAAAGTTGAGTAATTTGCATCACTGGATATTACAGTCGGTCGTTTAACTTTTCTATGGTAAAAAAAAAAACGGATGTCAAATATTAAATGTTTCTCCACTTTAACCTCACCTCGCTCTGTCGGCGTTAAAATTGACGGTGCGTCCGAAATCACATACTGAGTACATACTACATTTGAATTTGAATTCTACTGTTTTATTCGGACAAACTACTCGCCTCACATACTGTTTTTCGCATACTGTATAGTAGGGAAGTATGCGATTTCAGACTTTCGCTAAGCCCCGCCCTAAAACATCACTGACCAATCCTAGCTCAGAAACCACTGCTCTCAGGCATACCTCATATTACTTTTTTTTGTTTGTTTTTTTGCGTTTTTATTATTTATATTTATATATGAAGAGTTCATTTGCAAAAACAGATAACTCTATTTTTAACAACTTTCAAAAATCATATTTTTTTCTATGTGCATTCCAATTAATCTCAATCAAACTGCAATCGGGTTATTTTGATTAGGTAAAAAAAATAACTAACAAATACAGCTAACTAACACAATAAAACCATGATAACATAATAAAAAAACATGATTTTTGAAATATATATATATAGGCCTATATATTATCATAATTTCCCTGAAAACATATCTGAAAAACAGAATGCTGAGACAATATGTTGCCCATTTTATGACAGGAAGAATGGAAAAAAATAATATTTTAAAATTTAGTGATTGTACAGACGCAG